CCCGTGTACCCAAGATGTAAACTTTTACATCTTGCCTCATAGGAGTTGGGACACCTACTGCTAATATATAGAACTGTTCCATTCATTTTGGGAAGAAAGTCACACTCTGGAACCTTTATGTGTTGGGACCCACGGCCTGGGGAAAGCATGCAGGGGTGTTTTCTCTAAAGGCTGCTACAGTGGCTTCCTGTGGGGAATGTCTGACTTTACTGGGTGCTCTAGTTATTGTCTTTAAGTATCTAATAACTACAACATGAACTCTTCTGATAATTTCACCCTCCCTTATAGCAATGGACATAAGGCTGGCTGGGTGGTTTCTGATATGTGGCTCTGCTCTGAATAAAATGGAAAGTGAGAAGGCTAAAATAAAAATAATGAGGAGCCAGCATGTATTGAGTGCTCCCATACAGCACTCAATACATGGGTAAGTAGTTGTTCTTTCAAACCTCATCAGAGCCTACAAGGTAGGTACTGTTATTCCCCATTTCACAGTTGAGAACCACGGACTGTTCCAGGGGTCATCAGATAGTAAATGGTGGAGTAAGGCTCAAATCTGGGCAAGCTGGCCCTGGCTAGTTTGGCTCAGTGTATAGAGCAAGTCCCAAGTTCGATCCTGGGTCGGGGGGTGGGGGGTGGGGGGACATGCCTGGGTTGCAGGCTTGATCCTCAGTTGGGAGCATGCAGGAGGCAGACGATCCATCATTCTCTCTCATCATTGATGTTTCTATCTCTCTCTCCCTCTCCGAAATCAATAAAAAAATATTTTTAAAAAATCTGAGCAGCTGGGCTGAGAGCTTTTTCACCCTCCTGGAATCAGCAGTTTTATGAAGCAATTTTACTATTTAGCATAAATTAACATAATCCCCTAGCTCCTAACACTCACCCTTCCTTTGTTTCAGATAACACCAGGAGTGGATTGCAGGTACTGGAATGAGAAGTGAGAAGGAAGAGGTCATAAGGGAATGAGAAATGACTGCCTGAAGGGGAACAATCAGGAAAGATTGATTCAGGAAAGGCCCAAAAAAGAAGCCACCACGTGCACATCGTGTGTGACTATTCAAGGTGAAGGTGATGCTCTCTCATCATCTTTCATGAGCTGGCGCTTCTGTGAGCTTGACATCTGCAGCCCCTGCCTGAGGGGATGGGGGGAGAAAAGAAGGATTGGTTGCCGCTGATGTTAAAGAGGAACCAGCTGAATGGAGTGTCCCACTTGGAGGAAAAGAAACTGATGTTGTTGGTAAGAATAAGCCAGGAATGGGAACAAGACGGGTTCCTGGGTGGAACCTAGAGGTGGCCTAGACCTATTTTGAGAGGGTCAAGGTTGAATCTGTGTCTTACAGGATTCCTCCTCTTCTAAACACCAGGGTGCCCTGGCCTTTTCCAAGTAAGAGCTTCCCTCCTACCTACTTTTGTGGGAAATCTTCCAAGACCCAGCACTGGGTTGATTCCCCTGGGGATTCAAAGATGAAGTCTGCCCGAAGGGAGCGCTCAGGTTCCTGGGAGGCAGAATGTCAAATACTTATCAGCAATGGGGCTCTGGGGTTGGACCCCCTGTCTTCAGTCCTAGGTTCCACCACTTGCTGTGTCACCACAAGTAGATTACCCAACTTTTCTGGGCCCCAGGTTGCCCATCGGTGAAATTATATTCATCTCACAAAATAGTGAAGTTTGTAATTAGAATAGGTGTAAAAAGCATTTAGCTAACTGTCTAGTACAAGGTAAACTTGAGATAAAGGATTATTTCTGTTATAAGTATGAAACGGAGGGCACAAAAATATAAACAAAAGTGAGGTAAGGGGATGTGGAGACACAGAGGAGGGAGTGCCAACTCCGCCTTGAGTAGGAGCTCACTAGAGGAGTTATTAAACCCTGGGCGAGCCGAAACCGGTTTGGCTCAATGGATAGAGCGTCGGTCTGCGGACTGAAAGGTCCTGGGTTCAATTCCGGTCAAGGGCATGTACCTTGGTTGCGGGCATATCCCCAGTAGGGGGTGTGCAAGAGGCAGCTGATGGATGATTCTCATCGATGTTTCTAACTCTCTATCCCTCCCTCTTCCTCTCTGTAAAAAATCAATAAAAATAAAAATAAATAAAAATAAAAAAAACAAAATAAAATAAAATAAAACCTGGGCCTTGGTCCTGGTAGGAGGGGTTCTCAGAATGGGCATCTTGAATATGTTTCCCAGATAATTCTGCTATGATATCTGCCCTTAGCTCCAGAAAACCATTAATTATGCTTCTTTTTAAAAAATCCTCACCGAGGATATTTTTTCTATTGAATTTTTTTTTTTTTTTTTTTTAGAAAGAGTGAAAGCGAAGGAAAGAGACAGAGAAACATCAATGTGGGAGAGACACATTGTCTGGTTGCCTCCTACACAAGCCCCAACCGAGGCACATGCCCTTGACCAGAATTGAATCTTGGACCCTTCAGTTTGGGCCAACACTCCATCCACTGAGTCAAACTGGCTAGGGCTAATTTCACTTCTTTCAAAGAAACATTTTTATTATTAAAAAGTCCACTTCATAATCCTTGGAAAGTAGAAAAAAGAATCACTCATAATCCCAATATCACAACACATTCATCATCAGCACGAGGTGCCCCCATTTTTTCCTCATGCATCTTATTTTTGTTGTTTTAATAGTTTTAATAATGGTGCATGTGATAGTCATATTTTGCATTTTTGCCTTACTATGCAATCATAGGGTTATTATGTTGTTTTCATAATGAATTTTTATTTTTAACTTTTTTTCCTAAATAGAAGTGGCTTTTGTTCTCTTTTTTAAAAAAAATCCCAGACAATCTGAACTAGTATAAAAAGAAAGTCCCTCAGAGGGGACCGAAGAGGGAAAAGGGGACACATGTAATACTTTCAACAGTAAAGATTAAAAAAATAATAAAAATGGCCAAAGCCTGTTTGGCTCAGTGGATAGAGCGTCAGCCTGCAAACTGAAGGGTCCCAGGTTCGATTCCGGTCAAGGGCATGTACCTTGGTTGCGGGTACATCCCCAGTAGGGGGTGTGCAAGAGGCAGCTGATCGGTGATTCTCTTTCATCGATGTTTCTAACTCTCTATCCCTTTCTCTTCCTCTCTGTAAAAAATCAATAAAATATATATTTTTTAAAAATAATAAAAATAATAATAATAAAGTACAAATCTCACATAGTCCTACTGCTTAGACATAATCATTGGCCATGTTTATGTGTCCTTCCAGATTTTTTTCTAAGCAATGAAACATATACAGACTTTTTACATTTAAAGAGTTATATTAGGTAATGGTTTCTAATGACTGCACAGATTTTCTTTTTATTTATATCAAATCTATGTAACTAATAATCTATTGTTGGATACTTGTTTTGTGTGTGTGTGTATTTCTCTAACTTGTGAATTGACCATAATTTACTTAGTTAGCTATTTTTAGATATTTAAGTAGTTTTCTTCTTTTGTGTTTGCTATAATTAATAACAATGCTTTGAAAAATCTTCAGGCATATGGCTTTCCCCCTATTTTGAATAATTTCCTGGAGTGGAAGTATTGGGTCAAAGGGCAGGGACGTTTTATGATTCTTGATTTGTATCACCACGCTGCTTTTTCAAAGAGTTGTTTGTGCCTATTCAGATCCTTCCAGGGGACAGGATAGAGAGCAGAGGAGAGAGTGAATATGAAGAATGGAGGGAAAGAGAAAGGAAAGAAAAAACCATTTTGCCTGTAATTTTTTCCAACTGGATAACTAATTCATGCTCCTTGTAAAAATCCTAACTTTTCCATAAATGTTTACATTTAATATTGAAAGTCTTCCTCTGATGACAAGCTCTACTAACAGTTTAGGTATATTCTTGCAGGGTTTTTTTTTTTTTTTTACAAGTTATATTAATGTATAACTTGTTTGGTTTTCAAAGAACTAGCCTCAAACTATACACACTATAGTGCAACATCTCTACTGGAGAAAATATCCTACACACCTTTGGCATGATTACTTTAAGTGTGCAGACAACTTTTTGTCGAGTCCCTAACTAGTCCCATTTCCCCTGCCAGAGGGCTCAGCCCAGGCCCGCTCAGCACGCTCCCGCGAAGGACAGGCCTCCCGCTGTCCGGCCAGCAACGCCCAAGTGACCTTGGCAGTTGCAGGAACCCTGGCTCTTCCCCAGTCTGTGGGACCCGGGTCCCCACTCCTTCCTGGAGGCGTGGCCCTCACGTGAGGCCGCCGGCTTTGGGCGCCTGGCTGAGTCACCCCTGCAGAGCCCCTGGTCAGCCCCGTGACTCAGTTTCTCCATTTGTTCACACGGCATACGGCGTGAAGCACCAGCGCAGAATGCGGAAAGGGCCTCCGGCGGCTTCTCGGGGTGCGAGCTCCCAGGCGGAGCCCCAGAGGCGGGCGTGTAGGCCGCCCAGAGCGCCCCTCGGGGCCGTGCCCTGACCCGGTCCGGCCCGGCGAGTCCGTGCCGCAGCGCTCGGCCACGCGCACCTGCAGGGCTGCGGGGAGACACCCTCTGGGGACCGCCCGCCGGGGTTCACCAAGGGCCGGGCCGTGGGGAGCCGCCGGGGGGACGCCGCCGGGGGGACGGCCGTGCCCACGCTCACTCCCGCCGCCTGACGCAATCCGGGGCGCCCTTGCCGCATGCCAGCGCCGGGAAGCCTCCCTCGCCGCCGTTGCATCACTCCTGACAGGTTTGCCGCAGCCATGGAGCCGGACCAATCAGCGGGCGCGGTGGGGCGGGGGCGGGCCGCTCAGGGAGCCAATCACAGGGCGGAGCGGTTAACCGGTCAGCAACGCCCAAAGCTCATTGGCCACAAAGGGGGTTCGCCCCGCCCCAATCGCCGCGGCAGCTGGCGGCGGGGGGCGGTGCCCGCCCACCGGAGGGTTTAAAAGGGGCCGTGGCGGGGGCTGCGCGGCTGCAACGATCGAGCGGTGCCGGCCAGGTGTGCGCGCCCGCCCGTCCCTCCGCGCCCGCCCGCGCCGACACCTGCCCGGAGGACGCCGGCCCGGCCCTGTGCCCGGCACCATGAAGCAGGCGCCCGCAGCCCAGAGCCCCGCGCCCGCGCCGCCCGCCTCGCCGCCCGCGCAGCCCCCGCGGGGCGGTGGCGACCCCCCGGCGCTGTGGATTTTCGGGTACGGCTCCCTGGTGTGGAGGCCCGACTTCGCCTACAGCGACAGCCGCGTGGGCTTCGTGCGCGGCTACAGCCGCCGGTTCTGGCAGGGAGACACCTTCCACCGGGGCAGCGACAAGATGGTGAGCATGCCTGCCGCCGCGCCCGGGGACAGGGATGGGGTCGGGCCGGAGGGGGGGCGCGGCCTGCCAGGGCTCTGGGGGCCGACGAATCCGTGCTGAGGGGGGAAATAGGTAAACCAATGCCCGAGGGCGGTGGCGGGGAGGCAGAGTTGTGGCTTAAATTCACGTGCCCGCTGGGTCACTGTGTGATGCCTGGAGTCTGTGGTCCTGTATTGCTGATGAATATTTCTGGTGAATATCCTGGGGCACTGCCATGTGTCTGTTTCCCTTGCCTGCATGCATCGCTCCCTCCCCTGCCCCCTGGGTGAGCGGGCTCTGGAAGGCCTGTGCTGGCAGAGTTAATAGGTCCCCTGGCTCGGATGGCAGAGATTTCTAACTTGTCTCTTCCGAAATGGTTTTTTCCTTCCTTCCTAGCCCGGCCGAGTGGTGACCCTTCTCGAAGACCATGAGGTAAGTGCCTGAGTGGAGAGAGGGACCCCGGGGCCAGGCATGGAGGGGTGCCAGCAGACGTTTGCGAGTCCCTGGCTGCAGATTAGGGCAGATGTGCTTCTGGCAGAAGGAAAGGGTGGTCTGGTTCTGTGCGTCACTTCCCGTCAGAGCCCGAGCTGCAGGTTCCTGAGCAGCTTAACGGTGATGCCTCCTTAATCTGGTTAAGAACGGGAGGGGAGCTTGCGTGCAGAAGTTGCTACTGGGTGGCTCCTCAGCCCTCCTCCCTCCTCCCTTATAGAGCCTTATAGGCCCCTGGGTGGGACCGGGCGGGACCGGGCGGGACCCGGGCGGGAGCCGGGGTGACTGACCCCAGGCCCCTTTCCTCCTAGGGCTGCACGTGGGGCGTGGCCTACCAGGTGCGAGATGAGCAGGTGAGCGAGGCCCTGAAGTACCTGAACGTGCGGGAAGCGGTGCTCGGCGGCTACGACACCAAGGAGGTCACCTTCTACCCCCAAGACGCCCCTGACCAGCCTCTCAAGGCCTTGGCCTACGTGGCCACCCCTCAGAACCCCGGGTACCTGGGCCCCGCCCCGGAGGAGGCCATTGCCACCCAGATCCTGGCCTGCCACGGCTTCTCCGGCCACAACCTCGAGTACTTGCTGCGCCTCGCAGACTTCATGCAGCTCTGCGGGCCCCAGGCCCGGGACGAGCACCTGGCCGCCATCGTGGACGCGGTGGGCGCCATGCTGCCCTGCTTCTGCCCCACCAAGCAGGCGCTGGCACTGGTCTGAGGGGCGGAGCCCCTGCAGGGAGTGCCCACAAGGACATGGGGGCCCGGGCCCCACGCCCGTGCACACAGACAGACTTGGACACAGCGGGAGCCCCCTGAGAGGGCAGCCAGGGCTCCTCTCCCGGAGCCCCTGCCTGTCCATCCGCCTCCAGCTCTCCTGCCTGGCATTGACTTACTACTTGAAACTACTTATTGCACCATGTTGGTGTGACGGGCAGGGTGGGGGGCCTGCCCTGGACACACGGGCCCTGCTGAGCGGTGCCCACCCCGATATCTGGCCAGATTCCCCCCAGTGCTGCTGCTAACCCCTCCCCATCCAGACCTCCCCTCCAGCTCCCTAACCCCACACCATTCCCAGCCCCAGAAGTGCCACCTGCTGGTAAGGGACCGGAGGGAGTGAGGGGAGGGGCCCCTAAAGGGACCGAGCCCCCTTTCAGCCCTGCTCATCGCCCAGGTCCCCAAGGCAAAGCCAGATCTGGAGCCCATAGCTGCCGAGGCTGGGCCTGGACCTCACACACTTGTTTTTGTTCGCCTGTCCTGTGTGTCTGTCTGTGCAGTCCTGTCTGTCTGTCTGTCTATTCCTGGGAAATGGATCCCTAGGCTCTGTGGCCATCCCATCTGTCCCGTACTGTTACCATAAACTGATGTCCTAGTACCTGTGCGGCTGGAATGTGGTTCTTCAGACGGGGGTTGGGGTGAGTGATGCGGGGGAGCCCTGGCTGCCTTAAGGGAAAGGGCTCTCCTTTGTCTCCATCTCTTTCTCCCAGGAGCAGGCGGCTCCGCAGGCAGGGCTGCCGGTTACACACTCCCGCGGTGGGCACCATTCGGGTCTCAGCGCAGAATTCAGCCTGTGCGGCTGGACGGGCAGCTCCGTGAGCAGTGGGTGCCGCTGACCTGGAACCCGTGTCTCCTGCCCCAGGAGGCTCTGGTAGACCAGGTCCCGGACCAGGCCTTTCTCTTCCTAACAGTGAGGCTTCCTGCTGGCTTCCTGCTGCAGGAGCATGTGGGTTAGGGTAGGGCCTGCCGACTTCTGGGCTAATGACTTCTGAGGTCCAGGTGCTCGCTGCTGCCTCCTCTGGGGTATGGGTTGCACCTTCTCTCTTACCCTGACCCGCCAGGCCCCTCCCACAGTGGAATGAGTTGCTGGGGTGCCCTCGGGGCTACTGCTTATTCACCCACGCCTGCCCCTCCCCCCCTGCTGCTACTCCACCCTGACTGCCAAATGCCAACGCTGGTCCCAACATCCCGGCCTGGTCCTGGCTCCGCCGCAGGGAATGGCCCCTCGGTGGCTCAGCCTCTGCTCCTGCAGGGCGGGCGGGCGCAGGGCCGCGGTGGCGGCTTTACCAGCAGAAGAGCTTGGCTCAAAAAAAAAGCCTGGCTCCGACCCAGCCCCTTCCCTCGCTGGCCCTGGGACGGCCAGGAAGGTAGTCAGCCTCCTGGGCACTCGTTCGCGCTGGGCGGGGTGCTCAGTATGTGCGTTGCTGCTGCCCCTGTGGCTGGTCTGGACTGTCTGGGTGTCCCCGGCAGGGTCAGCTCCAGCCGCGATGGGCGGTGTTGTGCCCGGGGAGTGTGCCATGTGTTGGCAGCCTCAGGTCTTGGCCAGGGATGGGCAAAGTGTGGCGTCCAGTCAGACTCCTGGGAGCTCCGTCAGGGCTTCCCGGCGGGAGGAGGCAGGGGTGGCAGGGAGCCCTGGTGGGTCCGGGCGGCCAGTCTGGGCACTCCTCTATGCCAAATGGGGGTGGGGAGGACTGCAGGGCAGCTGCAGATGGGTTCGAATTCTTAGTATTTCCTAAGCTGCTACAGGACAGACACTGATCTGGTGAGAGGGTGGGGCGGGCGGAACAGTGAGGAAATCCCCCTCCTCAAGGAACTCCGAGCTGGAAACTGAACTGTGACGATGACAGTTCAAGCAGGAAACGGCTGTGATGGGAGGAGATAGGTGCTCAGCTCAGAAAGGCCCCTGCAGAGGAAGACATGTGCGGGAGGGGCGATAGGTCCGAGCTCTGAGCTGAGAAGGGTCTTCCGTGAGCAGAGGCAGGGACAGCCTGTGCCAGGGAGGGCAGCCAGGTCAGACCAGCTGGGACAGAGTGGCGTGGCCAAGGGGACTCGGGCTGGGCGGGGCAGGACTGCGCCCGCCTCCTGCTCGCCAGGCTGGGGAGCTGGGCTGTGTTACCTTAGGACCGGCCCTGAGCAGGTCTGCCCCGCACAGCCCAGAGTTGTGTGGGTTCTTGACTTGGTGCAGGAAAGATTTCACTCTTGGCCAGGTGATTTGTAGAGGACTTTTAGTAAAACTGAGGACAGTGATACAAGGAAGGGCCTAGGCCCCAGGGCAGTGGTCGGCAAACTGCGGCTTGCTACCCGCGGTTTGCCGCTCTGATGACTAATGAGTTTGCTAACCACTGCTAAGGCATTACCCTTACCCAGAAGTTTTGACTTCAGGTTAAAGACATTAGTACATTATTAAAAAAATTTTTTTAAATGTTTTCCCTAGCAGTGGTTGGCAAACTCATTAGTCAACAGCGTGGTAAACCACGGCTCACAAGCAGCAGTTTGCTGACCACGGGCCTAGGAGAGGGGCAGGTGGAGAAATGAGCATACGCTGGGTTGCTGTGTTTTCCTTTAAGTTCATCTGCCCTTGAGTGTGGTTGGCAAATGGCATTAATTGGGTTTCTGCTGTGTGTCTCCCTGAGTGGGGTGATTTAAGCTACTGCCGTAGGTGTGCCGGTTAATAGTGCGGATTTTGTAATCAAAGAAAACATGATAACTTCAAAAGAAACATCAAAAGTGCTTTATTCAAAATGATGTCCATCACTAGCTACACATTTCCCCCATCTTTCTGCTAATTTGTGGATACCGTCCCAATAGACCTTTTCTTGTTTTGGGACAAACCATTCAGAGACCCAATTTTCCACTTCTTCATACGTTTTGAAGTGCTGCTCAGAAGGTGCGTGTGCCATCGATCAGAACAAGTGGTCATCTGAAGGAGCAAGGTCTGGTGAACAAGGTGGGTGGGTTAATACTTCCCAGGCAGGATCTGTTAACATGTCTTTAACTGGTTTTGAAGTGTGTGATGGTGCATCATCACGAAGTAAAATTACTTTACCAGGTCATCGGGAAGATTCTGGTCATTTCACAATCAAATTGATTATTTGTTGTCAGTAGCAATGAGTATTAACAGTTTCACCTGGTTTTAGAAGCTATAACACACCACACCTTCCTGATCCCATCAAATGCAGAGCATTGTCTTCTTTCCGAAGTGATTTGACCTTGCAGTTGAGGTTGATGGTTGACTTGGATCAACCCATGATTTTGTGCATTTAAGAGTCTCAAAATAAATCTACTTTTCATTCCCAGTCACAATTTAATGCAAAAGACTTTCATGCCATTAAAGCAACATTTTACTGATGACTTTTTGGTTTTCCATTTGTCTTTCGAAAATTGATGTGCCACCCATTTTCCTTCCTTTAAAATCTTTGTCATTGCTTGTAAACGATCAGAAATTGTTTGCTGAGCAATGTTTAATCTTTCCGCAAGTTGTTTTTGAGTTTGACCTGCATCTTTATCCAATAATGCTTGTAATTGTTGGTCTTCAAACTTTTTCAGTTGACCTGGAAGTCTTTGGCTTTCACATCGAAATCATCACTTTTAAAGCATTTAAAAGTTCACAAGTATTTTGAGATGGAGCATGTTCACCATAAGCTTCCCAAAGTATTCAGCAAGACGTTTCTTCAAAATAATGAATTAAAACTTCCCACAAATGCTCTTTTTTTTGGCACGAAATTCGACATTTAAAAAAAAAAAAAAATATATATATATATATATATATATATATATATATATATATTTTATTGATTTTTTTACAGAGAGGAAGAGAGAGGGATAGAGAGTTAGAAACATTGATGAGAGAGAAACATCGATCAGCTGCCTCTTGCATACCCCCCACTGAGGATGTGCCCACAACCAAGGTACATGCCCTTGACCAGAATCGAACGTGGGACCTTTCAATCCACAGGCCAACGCCCTATCCACTGAGCGAAACCAGTCTTGGCTCGACATTTTTAAGTATAAAAATATCTATGATGTTAACACCTTCAGCAAATTTGACATATGAAGTTTTGAAGCTTGTTGTCAATACAACAAAATAGCATACATATTAAATCGCATATATATATGTGTAACTCTATTGAAAAAAATCCACATTATTAACTGGTACACCTAATATTTACTCTCTGGTTGGAGAGAAGTAAAAACTATCTATATGTATAAAAGCCTAAGTGATCATCCGACCATTCCACCATCCTACTGGTAGCTATGACACACAAGGACCACCCGTCACAGACGCACTGGCCACCAAGAGGCAGATGCTCAAAGCAGGAGCTGCCAAGTGCCAGCAACTTTGCAGAATGCCCTCTCACACTCAGGGACCCCTTGGGGGATGTCAGCTGAGGGGTCCCACCTGCTGGAGGGACCCTGCTCACTCTGCAGATGGCCTTGGACCTCCGGTGCCACCCCAGGTGCAGCTGGCCAGAGAGGGACCAGGGAGTTTGGCTCCAAGGTGTGTCCAGCCCATCTCACCCAGTCCCACCCGCTGGCCACCTTCCAATTAATTTCCTTTCAATGTGCACAAAACTGTGCCCTGGGCTTCTAGTTTACTCTTAAGTCTTTGGTTACAGAAACAGATTTACTAGATGGCTGCAAACTGCTTGTTTAACTATTTGTCTTAGTTTCCCTATCCCACTTGTCCTAGCTTACTGGTCTGTCTCACTGTGGAGTTGGCTTTCCTCCTCCTGTAGATTCTGGGCCGGGAAGAGACTGCGTAAGGAGGACACAGGCACCCCAGCCAGTTTGACTCAGTGGATAGAGTGTTGTTCCAAGGACTGAAGGGTCCTGGGTTCGGTTCTGGTCAAGGGCACATACCTGGGTTGCAGTTGGGGAGTTCGGGAAGCAACCAATCAATGTGTCTCAACCAATTGATGTTTCTCTGTCTCTCCCCCTCCTGTC